GATGGGCAGGAACCTGGTCTAAAGGGCACTGCTGCATGCACGTTGCATTGGGATACAGGTTGCTTTAAATAACTTCTTTTAACAGGCAGTGATTTAATATTATTGAAATATGTATTGGAAGTATTTACCCACACGTATGTTGCATTGCCTACCGGGATCATGTATTCCCAATGACTTGGATAAAAGACTGGCATTCTTACCTGGCTTTCGCATCAACATCTAATTAATTTCTTTCTTTTATCCTCTACTGGAAAACTTCTAACACTCGCCGGCTCTGCGCAGCCACGGCCAACCGCGCTGCCGACCCCCAAGCACCCTGACCGCCTTCCTAGGGCTGGACCCCGGGCTCTCCAGAGACGATGCTGCTCCGCGGAGCCCTGCGCCATCCCCGCAGCCTGGGCACGACGCCCCAGCTCCGGGACAGGGCTGCTCTTCCGTTCCGTTTCCCACGTGGGAGGCGGGCAGGTGGGCTGCTGCCGAGCTGTTTTACTGCCTTCCTTTCTGTTTCACGGCGAAGCCCAAAAGCGTTGGGAAACTGCTATTCTGAGGGCAAAGTCAGCCAAGCAGCCCCTCAGGGACCTCAGGGCTGCACTCCTCCCTGGCACTACAATTCACCCCCCAGTTACCCCTTACTCTCTCCCCTCTACACAAACAGGGTTCGCAAGTAACTGGAAATTTGACATTTTCACACCATGAATGTGATTTTTGTGGCCGGAGATTTTTAGTATTTCGCGAATAATCTGCTTTCACTCCGCAAACTGAAACAAAGACCTTCCAAGCTACAGCTGCAGCCCTTCCTTCACTGGAGCTGATGCTCCAGCTCGCTGTGAGCAGGGAAAAGTTCTCGCCCCAGGCTCGGGGCAGTGTTAGTGCCTTCTAAACAGTCACAAAGATCCGTCACCGGGAGAAGCACCAGGACGACCAGACATGGGGACAGATGCCAGTCTCTCCCATCAAACTTTACACACCTGCTGCAAAGCCAATGCTTGCTCCCAACAGCTGCCACGTCCCAAACGATGCTTCCCCCACGCAAAAAAACACGGCTCTGCCCTGCTTTCACTTGGCCACGGCGGAAGAGGGAAGGAGCAGGGGGGCTGCAGCCCCACAACCCACGCCATGGGCAAACAGGCTGATTCTGGCAACGTCCTTCAACTGGGCTTGGAGGAGCACAAAGTCCTGGGTTTCCGAGCAGTGGTGATGGGCTCCGGGCAGTGCTGTGCCCCTGCCCAGGGGCTGCCGGCTCCCCCCAGCCCAACACAGCACCCAGCGACCAGGCACCATCCCACCTTGCCAGCAGAGATACCCCCAGCCCGCTCAGCCGCCATCTAATATTTATGGAAATACGTTTGTGCTGCACTGGAGATTCTTGGGCTCTGACCTTGATCGCCCTTTGTTTCTGTCAAATACGTTCTGCCAAATCCCTTCTGAAATCTCACTTTTTCACAGCAGCTCCTTAGCCCAGCGCGCACCCCACCTCGCCGGCGCCGGCCGCCGATCCACGGCATCTCCCTGCCCCCTCTGATGCTTCCCCCACATCCCCGCAGACCCCCCCTCCCGTGGCCCCAGCCCAGCAGGGCTCCCTGCGGATCCCCGGAGGGCTCAGCAGCTGCCTGTCCACACCATAACGCTGCTGGGATGTTCACAGTGGGCAAAGCCAATCTCTTTCCAAGGAAAACATCCTTTTTCCTCTTTGATTATTTTTTCCGACATATTCCCATTTCTCACTGAAAATCACATCTTTCCTATTTTCTTTCCCTCCTGTCATTCCTCCTCTTTCCTTCCTCTTTTCCCATAGCAAAAGAGAGGACAGTAGAAAAAAATAAAACTCCACCGTGTTAAGAATTTTCTGCTTGTTTCTTGTCAACAGCACAAAAAAATAACGTGCCTTCCCCACAGGAGCCACCCTTGCCTCGTCCGCAGCCCCCCTGCACCCCGCTCCATCGGTCCTCCTAACGTCACATCTTCTGCCATCTCTTTGCCTACTCTTGTCCACCCATCCCTGCTTCTCTCCTCCCCAGCTCCCTGCACCCCACCTTCCGTGTCTGAAGACTCCTTGACTTCTAAAAACTGATGGGGGGGGAGGATATAAAGTCAATAAAGTGACAGAAACAGCCACGAAGAACCATGTTCTGTAAACGTAGACCTGGTCCACGGGGCAGAGCGAAGCGTGCAGAGGCCCGTGGCGTGGAGGGAGCTCTGGATGACGATGCTGAAGGGGTAAGGAATCGCGGAGGTGATGGTGGCTTTGGTTTTTCCCCATCAGGGTACAGCTCCTTTGCTCAAACAAGGGGCTCCAGCTCCTGACACCCCAGGGACGGGCTGGAGCCAGGAGCAGGGTCTGGCACACAGCAAATCCACCTTCACTCTCCAGCTCTCGTCCTGCCATGGGAATTTCTGCGCTGATTTAAACCCGCTCTGCCTTGGTATTCATCTGCACAATGGGAGCAGCAGCCTTCTCCCTTGAGAGGCTTAACTCAGTGTAAGGATAACGTTGGGACATCCCAGGACAAGAGACACACCGAAGGGGACAGCAACCTGCCCCTGTATTTTCCGTACTTACTTCTGAGCTGTAGAGGAGAATACCAACGCCACAGCTCTCAGCGAGTCCGAGCTCACGCATTTTCAGCAGCTCGAGATTTTCTCATGAAGATGCCTTAAAAAAACTCCCAAGGCTCAAGCTGCCTTTTTCGAGGGAAAGCCTAACCAATGTCTAAACATTTTACCTTGAACTGTTTGTCATTTGTCACCGTGTTCAAACCCAAAGACACGGCAGCCAAGGCCAGAAATAGCTGCGTGTGCAAAAACCGGTCCCAACTCCCGCAAGGAGCAGCAGCAAAGAGCGCAGCTCCCGGCTCCAGCGTTCGCATGAGCAGCGTCGGCCCTGGAACAAAGACAGATCCCCCGCACGCCTCCTCCGCAGCGCTCAGCCGAGGCTCGCTCCCCGTCTGGCCTCCCACCGCCACCCGGGCGGCGGACGGGCACGAGGTATTAACCACAGGAGTTTAAACATCGGCTGTCTCCGGGATTTTGTCGTGTTCTGGTGTGCACGTGCCGCTCGCATGGATGCTAACAGCAGTTACGTGTGCGCTGCGGGATGGGTGCTGCCATCGTGGGCTGCTGCTGCCGCAACCGGAGACTGGGTTGGGGCATCAAATAAAAAAAAGGGGCTAGAAGGTGTTGCCTTTCAGTGGGAGAAGTCTGAGGGCACGGAACAAAAGGCTGTGACAACAGGGTACAGCAGGATTTCATTTTGACCTGAAACTGCAACACAGATCACCCCCGGTCTACCTCCCTTCCTGCTGGGACCTCTGAAGATGTATCGCAGCTCCAAGAGTTTCTGCTCCAAACTAAACCGTTTCGATTCACTATCGGCTGGAAAATTCAGGGTTCAGTGGAATTTTTATTTTTGTGGTAAGGGGCAAACTAATCTTAACCTCTCTATTCTACGCTTACAGCCCACTAAGCCCCCTTCTTATCTTCTCTGGCTCAGTCCTGATTTATTGTCACAATGCTGCATTTGTGAAACAGTACCATAAAGTAAGAAAGTGAACATTTCCCAAGGACTGCTCCAAAATAAATTGTTTCAGACGTACAGAAGCTGCTTAATAAATCCCACTATTCTTGTTTCTTTAGGTATTTTAGAAAGTGATTTATAAGTGCAATATCACCTCTCAAAAATGAGACAATCAACACAGGATAAAATTATCGTGTTATGAAAATAGGGGTCAGGCAAAGGGGCTGTGCTTTAAATTAAACCGGGGAAAAATATTTCATCTGAAATTGACTCTTTTTGTCTCAGAAATGAATGTTTTAATCACCTAAGAACCTAAACACTAATGCAGAGGCCTAAGTAATATTTAATTTCATAGAAATATGCCTGTGTTCAATATGATGGGCAGAACATGATATTTTTCTTAAACACACTAACAATGAAACTTGGAGACGCATGAAGACTTTCGAAAGCCCTGGGATTTTCCTAGACTAAGAGATAATATCCCATTTAAATATTTAAATACCACTACCTTTCAGACTGCTATCTATTCAAGCAATCAACACCAAATGTTCTCCAGCCAGTGCAGGGGCAGACTTGCAGGCATTTCATTTAAGTAAAATTAACTCTGTTTGATATTGATGCCTTCCAACAGCATCCATGAAAATCAATGATCTTCGAGAGAAACAATGCAGAGAACTAACTACAGGGCTAAATCTGCTAAAGAGGAAAACGTTATTAAACAGCAATAGTATTAGTTCAATACCACTGTCAAAATCAAGTCACAGGCTTTCCTCGGTGCTGCTGATACAGAAGCGTCGTAAGGTCTAATTAGCCCTGACGTTTCTTCCCAAAGCTGCTCTTTACTTCATTATCCCTGCCTTATTTATCCCTACGGAAAAGTCATTTGAAACTTCGCAAGGTATCCCCTTGCCACGGCGTGAGCCAAGAGGCAATTTGAGTTTGCAAGCGCAAGCGGGATCTTGTTGCCCTTGAACTCAATAGGACAGCTTTCCCTTTGTGGAGCATCCGTGTTCCTCCTGCCAGTGCCACAGGGACCACCCTGGCAGCAGGACATGGGGGTGATGGGCTGGGGGCTTTTCCCAGCAGAAGAAACGATGCTGGGCATCAGGGCTACGAACTATGGGCTTTGGCTGGTCACCCTCACACAGGGTTGAACCACATGCGCTTTGCTTGGTTCAGTGAGGATTTTACATACCCAGAGGAAAACAACCTTCCCCCCTGCTCTTGAGCGGTTAATAAGGCTCAGGAAGAAACCAAACTGGAAACATAAAATCTCAACCACAAGCACGGCCATGCAGGTGACTGCAGCATCTGCCACCGCCCCCCGACACTGGTGGGCAGCAGTGCGGGGAGGCAGCGCTGCATCACCAGCTCTTCCCAGCCCCCAGCGCAAACATCTCAGGCTGCTACGTTCAGCTGAACTCATAACACGACATATGGAGCGGCTTTAATGAAAGACAGTAAGAGGGGAAAGTCACTGACCGTGGGTAGCTGGCTGGACAGGAGATGCCCATCCTGACTCAACATGTTGGAGACCATGATGGCCGGCAGGTCCATGTTCTGGTAGGGGTACGCTGGTATCAGGCTGTTCGGAGGGAGGCTGTGGCACAGGGAGTGATATCCAGTTTCGTGGTCCACCAAGTGCAGGAGGGAAGGGTCGGGGAGATTAGGAGGTGTTATAGGAGGGATCTCATAGTCTTCATTATTCTCATTCTGACTGTTATATGTCTAAAACATGAAAAAGATATTTTGCAACACGTCATTGCCTTGTTGTTTCAGCAAAGAAAAGCAATTATTCATGTAAGCAATACAAAAGCACATTCCAGTGGAAAAGGTTTTATTTTAATAAAAAAGACGTCTCCAGCCCCGGACACTAGCAGGTCATAACGGTGTAGGCACCGGGCAGCACTGCACCATCCATCAGGGACACCACGGGTCCTCGCACACCTCGGATCTGCCCGGGGCATCTGCACCGCTCCCCTCTTCCACGCGGCATCCCTCTCGCACGTCTTTAGCTCGCCCAAACCTCAGCAGCAGCCTCCACGCCCGGATCGCAGCCAGGCACGCGATGCTCGCAGAGCCCGCAGCCACGAAAGAGCACGACCGCGTCCCAACCAGCTGCTGCGTTTTTACGGCAAAATCCCTCTCTGGGCACCCAGCTCAGCTCTTACAATATCTACAGGTTGTATTTTCAAGAGTGTTTTTGAGAATTAGCTCCATGAATTCTGTGTACTTGGGAACAAAATTCCCATCGACTCCTCACAAACTCCAGCACAGAAGCTACAACCAGGGAGAGAGATTTGGAAACGCAGCCATCAGATGTTTTTTAAATCACAGAATCACTGAATCACAGAATGGTAGGGGTTGGAAGGGACCTCTGTGGGTCATCGAGTCCAACCCCCTGCCGAAGCAGGGTCACCTACAGTAGGTTGCAGAGGACCTTGTCCAGGCGGGTCTTGAATATCTCCAGAGAAGGAGACTCCACAGCCTCCCTGGGCAGCCTGTGCCAGTGCTCCATCACCCTCAGAGGGAAGAAGTTCTTCCTCATGTTCAGCTGGAACTTCCTCTGCTTCAGTTTGTGCCCGTTGCCCCTTGTCCTGTCGCTGGGAACCACTGAAAAGAGCTTGGCCCCATCCTCCTGACACCCACCCTTCAGGTATTTGTAAGCATTTCTAAGGTCCCCTCTCAGCCTTCTCTTCTTCAGGCTGAACAAGCCCAGCTCCCTCAGCTGAACCCTTGAAAGGAAGCCTGCATGACTCCACCACACACGGAGATTTGTCCTTCCTTATATCCTCATCCAAACCGTACCTGGACAAGCTCTCCCTCACCCCCCACCGATGCTCCCTTGAGGCGACCACGAAGACGCAGAGATGTTGGTGCTCCTTGTGCTTCCCCTGCTTTCTGCTGCCTTGTTTACTTCTAAGCATTCCGATTTATACGGAGCAAGAATATGTTATAGCACCTGTGCAATCAGTTTTCACTCCAGACAAAAACATCTTTGCTTCACAATGTAAGTGTGAAACTGTCCAAAATTATTAATTATCAAAGCAGAATATAATGAGTCTCTGGCGGAGGAGGCTTATTCTAAATGTCTCCTGTTTCACATATTATTATAGCATACGAAATTCTGATTAGCTATAGTATTATACACATGGATTTTAAGCTAAATTTCTCAGATCACCTAGTTTCATGGTTGGATTTTGACTTAATACTTGATTTAAGAGCAAAACCCCAGATGCGTGCAAAACCAGTTAAGCACTGTAGGCTTTATTAATCCATTGCCCCAGAGCTCACACTCGGATCCGTGCTCTTCATCACCCCAGACCGCAGGCAGAAAACCCTTAACAAAGTCAGATAAACCCCCCATTTAACCGGAATAGAGCAGTCAGCGGGAGCAGCAGCGGGGAGCGAGCAGGGATCTGTTGCGAGGCGGGAGGGCTGCCGGAGGGGGCGGACGCCTGAAATTCCCACTGGCTGTGGGGAAATACGAGTGTGCAAGAAACCCAAGACGGAGCCGGGGCTGAGACAGCTCTGTGACAACAGTTATTGTTCGGGGGAAATTCAAGCCCAGCTATTTTTCCAGCCAGCTTCTGTCTCGCAGCGGCATTATCCGGGGAAGGCCAGGGGCTGAGAGGCTGCACACAACAGCAGACAGCTAGATCGCATTTAATACGTCTAGTAGTAAGGTTTCCGTTTGGGCTACGCACTTTGAGGTACACCGATTCCTTCCCAGTTATTTAAGAGGATTTCGCTCCATGCTTTTCGGGAAGGGATTTAAATAAATCATCGCACTGCAAACTTGTTCCTCCAACTGGTTTATTTTGGTATCAGGTATATAAGCAAGTGGCTTTGTTGTACTTAACTAAATTATGTAAAACCCACTCAAAGTTTCCTAAAGCTCTCTTCAAAACTACAAGTTCCTTGTGTTGCTGCAGGGCTGCTTGCAGAGGGGCTTTGAGGCGGTTTTGCGAGGAGCGCGAAAGCCCCGCCGCCCGGCTCACCCCCCTGCACATTTCTGCCTCCGCCCTGTTCACACGGGGGGGGCTCACCCCCCTGCACATTTCTGCCTCCGCTCTGTTCACCGGGGGGGGGGAGAAAAACAGACCTGTTTAAATCACAAAGCTTTCCGAATAGCTACGGTATTGTGCAGACATATCAAAATTACAATCAAAGCTGTACACAATCAAAATCAGATTAGACAATATCCAATCAACACCACAGATTCGGCGCCTGCCAGCTTTTACACCGTGTCGCTACCAACAATTTTCCAAAGCAAGCCGCGTTTATTCTCTATATGTTTTAAATAGATTGCTAGAAGGATAAGGAAGGGAGATGAGGCAGATAGACAGTCGGACGGGTGGGAAAGGGAGGTGATTTCTTGTCACACACTGTGCCTGTTGACACATCCGCGGTGACGTCTCCGTCCCCACGAAGGGTGGTCTCACGCCGCGTGCACCAGAGCCGTCCTCTCGAACCAGTAACACCCAACACGCCTTTCTACCACCATGTGGGCTACGCTGCAGATTATATTTTCTATTCTTATGTTAATTTGAATTCAATTAAACAGCCAATTATAGGTTGTGAGGATACATTACAAATTAGATTAGTGAGCTGGTCTGAACCCATTCATCCCACCAGGACTCCAAACGTGAGTGCAGAGCAGCTCGCCCTGCTAAAAGGCTGCCCATTACAGCACACAAAAACCCACGGCAGATGTAGGATTTTCCACTGTCAAACAGATGACAGTTGTTGTGATTACACATTATTTCTCTTCAACTTAAAACACTGGAATTAGCTGAAACAACAAGGCAGTGACCTCCTGCAAACCCTCTCTGGGCTCGTGTTGCGGGGCGGTTGGGTGCTGCACGGAGTGCCAAACCCCTGCTCCTGCCTGCAGCGGGATGGAGCAACAGCAGCAGGTACGACCAACCCCCACCAGCAGCCAAATCATATTTAAAAACCTATTTGAAATCCAGGTTTGAACAGGGATCCCTGGATCGTCTCCATCCACCCGCAGGTTCAGAGGCAGAGGACAGAGGGGTGGAGGGAAGGTGGTGTGGGGACATGGAGAGTTGCATCCATCTGGCTGTGCTCATGCCACGCAGCTTCTCCACCACCCTTTCATCACGCCTTGCTGGGCCACAGCTCCCTGCATCTGAGCCTTCGGCACGGAGAAGTGCAGAGGGGTCTGCAAAGTGGAAGAAGGCTCTGGTTCCCAGCAAGGTGACACCCAGGCCACATCCAGAACCTCGAGGAGTCAGAACAGGTAACCACAAACCTGCTGCTCTCTCCTAGCTCACAAGCACGGGGCTGGGGACAGGCTGCTCGCGTTCATTTGAGAGGAAAGGCAGAATTGCTGAACGCCTTGCGAGAGGACGGGGTGACTTGCAGAGCAAGGCCCCATTGCCAGAGCTGCGGTGGCACCAGCAGACACAGCCTGTGCTCCCAAAGCACCAGTGGGTCCTGGAGACCCCCCAGCGCGGCCTCCTGCCAACGCTGCTCCCCTCCGCAGGGCGATACGCCGTGATCTCCCAGGCTTCCCGCACTCCCTGATGCTTTTCAGGAGAGGGAGACAGAGATGGATGGGAGACACTGAAAACCCCTGGATCTGCAGGGGACCCACATGAGGCTGGTGGGGAAGGACACAACAGCTTGTGCAGCGGGAGAAGGCTGAGAGCAAGGACAGGGAAGCAGTGGGGCTGGAAAAGGGTCAAGGAGCTGCCAGGAGCAGGGACTGGGGTAGGACAAGAGAGCGAGAACAGAGGGTGACACAGCAGAACGCCGCAGACGGCCCTGGCCAAGCAGGGGGAACAGAGCCATTTGAGGGTGAGGAGGGAGGACTCGGGTCCCTGCCTCTCGCATGCGTGCTCAAGCAACAGTGCTGTGCACGCCCTGAGCACAGCTGTGCCGACCGGGGGCCAGGTGCTTCTGCGGTGTGTCTTTGTGGGTGCAGAAGATGCAGAAGTGGCAGTTAAAGGGTGCCCCATACGGACACGGAGCTGAATCAAGAGAGTGGTTGGAGAACAAGAGCTTTACTGGCGAACGAGCTGGTCCCACTGTCTGTCTCCAGCGTGCCAGGCATGGGAAGCCTGAGTTTTAGCAGTAAAACTGGTTCTTCTTTTATATGGCTGGATAACCACCTGAATTATAAGCTCATCATGTTGTGGACATCTTCTCTACTTGCCTTTAAGCTGCCTCTGAAAATTACGGTGGGCCAAGGAGAGAAGTGTGGAGCTCTGACTCTAGGCTGTCAGCGCCCAGTGACGAGCAAGCTGGGAAGAGCGCTGAGCGCTTTCACGGCACCCATCTACCATCGCTGTAAAGCAGTGCAAAGCCCGCAACAACGGAACACGCTTCTGCTGCTGGTCCAGTGGGAGAGAAACAATCCCACCCTTCTGCTCTTACCAGCAGGCTGCACCAGGAAGGTCAGGCAAGGGCTGCCAGAGGCAGAGCTGCCTTACAGCCACCCAGGCTGGGTGGGTGGCAGCTCGGGGGGCTGCCCGGGGAGCAGGCAGGACCGCGGGCAGTGAGAGCTTCAGCCATGAAGCCTTCTTGTCTGCTTTGAGAAAGCCAGACCTGATGGAGCGTGCAGGGATGGGAATGCAGAGGCCTGTTCCCAGCTCTCACTTTGATCTACTGCAAGCATTGGACCAGATTTCCACTTCTTCTAGCTCACGTCTACAGAGCCCAGACACTTCTCTGCCTTTCAGCATGCAGAGCCCAGAGCA